CTTTTGGATAAAGTCACAACAAGATCGTTGCAGCGCGTCGTCATTGTATGCATAATTCGTCGTTTTGCCTCGCTCGGTGCGGTACCGTGTGAAAAGGTTTTTATCGACTCAAGCGGTTCAGGCTCGTCAGCGCCTTCAAGGCTGTACAGGCCCCACGGTTTCAAATCTTCATCCATGACTCGCGGTGTAAGTTCCCTTGGATCTCCGCCTGATAATACCGGTCGTTGTTTAGAATCTCGGCGCGTGAGTACTCGGGGTTTATGCTGCTCAACTGTGTACAACCGAGCAGATTCCAAGATGATACACCGTGGATTACACGTTGGACTTCTTGTGCCACTATTTGTTGAGAACAATATTCTGCGTATGCCGCTTACGTTTAGGTAAGCACAACTTAAAGAGGGGATGATGTAATGTGGCAACTCATTATATTAAGTAGTTATAGAATTTATTACATAATAACATAAGTAGGTATAAAAGGTATTCAAAATGCGGACACTGCACGTTATTTACTGTTGCGCTATTGTTGGGGAACCAGACCAAATAAATAGCCAATGGTAAATCGACCCACTTTGAGTAGTTGTCATAAGAAGAGAACTCCTTCCTACTTAACACGATGTGAAAACAAAACAAAAATAAATAAAGCTAATTTACCTTACACAAAATAGCGCTTTCTCAAAGCTTTATAGTGTAAGACGGTTACGGGCTTTCACTCCGCTACATCGAAGATCAGCCAATCCAAGATCATCCGGATGGTACTCGTGTGATCGACTACCACGTGATCCCACTGATTCCATCTCAATATCAGGAATATACGATCGGCGATCCAGGTTCTTGATCAATCATCTGGAGCGATCCCCCCGCTCCGCTGTCTGGTCAGTTGTTCGCAAACGAACTTCTCCATAGCTGCATCAAAATACGATCGATCCCATACTTTAAAGCATGGGATCGACACCAGATCGCGGCTCGGCCTTGATCGAAAACGTGCGATCGCGCAATGATACTGCACATGAAGGTCCAAGCGAAATCCTTTCGATCTTGATCGACTCTTCTAAGTAGGCTTCAGATTTTTCCGAGGCGAACTTCGACGCTCCAGTGTGGTACTCATTTGGACTGTCCCATTCCTGTTTTTTCAGGTGATCCGTCGATTTCTTCACACCAGTCATAGAGCTAACTTATCAAATAGCGATTGCGCTGCGTCGATCACCTGATCGTGATTGTGATCGCAATCGAGTAGTTTGTGGGCTTCGAGCCATCTAGCAGTGAATCCAGCGTCTTGTTACAGCTGCATCAGCTGTCAGATCTCGTTCAACATGTTTGTCATCGCTGTTGGTGTCGACACTGAACCTTTCAAAGCTTCGATCAGCTTCGTCTTCATGATCTTGAGGCTAGGATCATTCAGCTACCGCGCTTCTAATTCTTTTCTTAGGCTCTGATCCAGATGCCATCCTTCCGATTTGATACGATCGTCGTCATCCAACAAACTTGAATGAACGTGCATGATCCAGCAACTTACCTTGATCAGCTTGATCCATAGCCTTGGCTGGGTCGCCATGATTAAATGACTGACTGAATCATCTTTATCCTATTCTGGTACTTGCAACTTTTTCTTCTGCGAATCCTTCGATTTCTTGATCTTGGATGTGATATTTGAAGGGTTTTTCAAACGCAGATTCTCAGCTTTAACCAATCCATCCCCACCTAGTGAGTCGCGCTTCCTATCGCAATCCGCGAGGGGAAAAAAGACTTGAGGATGGTATAGATTTATTTTCCAGATCCAGTTGATCTTTCTTTTTTGTCGTCAAAGTCATTCCCAAAACTCTGACGATCCGGTGATCTTCATTTGCATGCGTCTGCGGCGATCCCTTTTCCAGTGAGGCTTCGATCCCAAGTTTCATCTTGATCGTTTAGTATTCACTATGAAATACACAGTGATGTACTGAGTCACCAGAAGATCCGAGCACGCGCACCATTGTGGTGGAGCGGTGATCACAAAAATGATCCCGCCGACCTCTCATTGGCGCCCGAACTGTCGACTGACGGAGAAGGTACTCCGATACCGTATGCTAGTCCTTCTTTACCTTGTGTACCCGTCAACTGGGTGGTTTTCACTCTCGTCGGTGGACTTGCTCCTATCTTGATCGTGATGGGGTGTGGGTGGAAGGGGGGTGGATCGCGTCGAAATTCTTCACGCGATCGCAGTAAGCACTGGCGCTTCAAACTGCTTTGATCTACTCTGTATCTTCCCTTTTCTTTTCTGTCCTCTTGAGCCGTCTAGTAGATCTTCTGACCACTTGAGCCGTCTTGTAGAGGTCTCTTGCTTAAACGCTGTGTCTGATCACAGTTGACTTGATTTGATACTTTTGAACCCCAGCCCAAAACCTTCCAGGGGTGATCTGCTGTAAGTATGTGACCTCCCTTTATTCAACGAATGGCCAGCAATCCAACCCGGAAGAGATAAAAACACGTGTACGATCAGATTTTACCTATGTATTAGTCACTAAACAATTAATACCTACACCAATCACCAGCCTAAGCTACAAACACTACCTATGGCTAACTTAGCAAATTCAATACTCCGCTTTGTCCAAATAATCCCAAAAAATTACCATCTTGCCTACTTGTATGACATGATCATCGCCACGAGTCTCCTCAGAAGAGAGGGGGGCACACCATGCGATCGATCCGTAGACGACTTGATCGGCTGGGCACGATCGCGATCCGTATTGTGTAGTCCACACCGTGCGATCAATATATTAACCAATCACGTGTGATTCAGACTTATCATAATCATTGGATCGCCCGATCGCTCGCAAATGCCTATCCCCATAAACTTCACTTCTCCGCATCTGTAACTCAGCAACTTGCTCTCCCTTATATAGCTAATTTAGCAACAATTTATACCTATGCTTGTCCTTGCAAATTCACTACTAACCTATATTGTCGAACAGTGGTTCCTGAGTCTATAATCTAACCCGCAGCAGTGGCAACGGGTGTATCATGGTTGAGAAGCGGCTCCCATGCGTGTGCATTCTTCCACACCGCACAAAGGCGGAGGCCTTCCGAGCGTCACGAGCAAGCAGTGGATCCCGTGCGAATGCGAACTTTAAATGTTGTGACGAAGCAGAGGCTATCAGTGCGCGCAGATCCATGAATCTGGGTCGATTTGTGCAGATCCCGGTTGGAGGGTACGTGGAAGTACCTCTGCAAAGGTCTACCTCGGACCAATGGAAGCTGTGAGTCACGAGAGGAGAACGGTGGGTCGCGACCATGAACCAAGGGGCGGGAAGTTGGAAGATCCTGAAGGTAACCAGTGTTGCTCTTACTTACTAATAATACATATGGACACCAAGATAGGTATTTGGTTGATGAAGGATCAAGCACCAAGGGCGCAGGGCTTCTTCTCGGTGGAATCCCGAAGATACGCCGAGTGGGTGAATCTACCACCGACCAGGTCGACTATCTGGTGGACTCTATGGAGGAGTATGAAGGACCATTGGCGGAGACATTACCGTACGATATCCCGGAGACCGCTTCGATAGCGGGTTGATTAGGGGGTGCTACTCAGACGAAACGACAGACCAAGTATATTCTGGGGCTATCTTTGCACTTGGGTCTTACGACACGACTACCTTCAACGGGGGGGACAAAATGCGTCCCTTCCTGAAACAGGTGGGTAGACATAGCTCCTTATAAGCACTGCGGAGTCGTTCCATGTAGATCGCAAATTGAGTAGTATTAAATGTAGTCCTATTCTCCCATACTTTATCTATCCTTGCCTTGTACCTTGGTTCTGATGTTAATTGTCCAGGGGAGCTTGGTCCTGAGAGACCAAGGCCTACCGATGAAGTACCATGGTCGGCCTTGAGGTGCCCTGGTCTTTCATTAATCTACTGGTCCTTAAGCTCTCCACATTTTGAAAGCGCTTCACCAGAGAAGTGAGATGAAGGAAGCCATCATGCTCCAGTGACACCGCTGGACCTTCGGACGACTCGCTCACGCTCAGCTCGAATTTTGTCATTGGAAGGACCGCGACGTGTTACCAGGTGTAACGGGTAAGAATCCTCGCTACCGTCACACACTATTACTAGCGAGGAAGCGTTACTATGTAATAGGTGAATTTTACCTTTAGTTATTTTTGTCTTTCAGTCGTACTAAGTACGAAAATGTTTCCAAGCTTGTGGAAATTACCCAATTGCAGATTGATTGATCATTGGCTAATTATTGGGTCTGTCATCTTAATATAAGCTAATAATAAAATGACGTGCAGTATTTGCTATAGTGAGCACTACTTTTGTAATTATGAATACAACTAATAGATTGCGGTCAGCGTAGAATACGAAAAATTTGCAGTGTATCGCATTTTACATTTGTTTACCATTCCCACCCATTGCAAAGTCTTTATCTGTTCAATACCGTGATTTTGGTGATAGTTTTTCTCTCTTTATATGTGCCGCCAGTTTAAAGAACGTGGTTTATTAAGTGCGTGCACGGGTCAATTGGCTCTTGAATTGCTATTTCCTACAAATTATGGTTTAGTAATCATCAGTTGGTCCATCATAGTTCTACTTGTAACTCTTCACTCTCCAAGACATGAAATCTCACCTCTCTACGTGTCTCTCAGTCTCCAACTTTTCCGTCTATTACTTCACTGCGTTTCTCTCTCTCGTCATCCTACAGTCATTTCGCTTTGGTTCTTGCACCCACCAGCATATCAATTCATCACTATTCTTGCTTTAACTCTAGCCTGGATCGTATCTTTTCTTTTTCCCTGGCCTGACTTTTCTCAATTACATGGACCCTATCAAACTATCGGCTGTCGTCTTTTATGTATCAATGGCGTCGAGTGTCGTGTCTTTTATCCATCAATTGATGAATTTCTCAAGACTACAAAGCAGAAAAACGTTCATACTCGACCTTTTGTCCCATATCTACATCATGGTCACCACCTTATGAAAGGACTTGGTGTCTTTGCTAATTTACCGTCATGGCTTTTTCATAACATGAGCAATGCACGATTGGCAGCTTTCCAGGATGTACAAATAGCATCAGCACCGGACTCATCGGATGGATGGCCTATCGTGATTTTTAGTCACGGACTTGCAGGATCACTGGAACTTTACTCGTATGTAAATCAAACCCTTGCGAGTTTTGGACATGTCGTTGTCGTGCTAAACCATTGCGACGGATCAGCGTGTGTATGCAGCCCAGAGCCTAATCGCATCGAGTACTACCAGCAGATTACACCGGAGATACGAGACAATATTAATGGAGCAGGTGTACGATTCCGCAATGGACAATTGCGGCAGCGGGTTAGCGAGGTGCGCTCAATTCTCGATGCTATTATGAAGCATGAAACCACCGCAGATAGCATCTTCAATCAATGTAATCGCAGTAACGTGAGCATTGCTGGACATTCATTTGGGGCGGCTACAGCTCTCACAGTGGCACATGAAGACGTGCGTTTTAAGAAGATGGTGCTGCTAGACGCGTGGATGGAGCCGCTTGACGATGACGTGCGCGATGGACTGGGCCCACGCGTTCCTTCTCTGCATTTAATGTCAGAGCACTTCCATCACTGGATTCCAAACGCTGAGAGTATCAATCGTCATGCGCGAGGGTGCACGAATACGCAGTCACGTCTCACGTGGTTGCGCGGCACAAGGCACAACAACTTTTCGGATATCCCTGTGTTTTCTCCGACCATCAATCGGCTCATGAAGTCGGCTGGCAAGATTGACCACTTCTACGCTCTCCAAGCCATTGGCCAAATGTCAGCAGCCTTCTTAACCGATGACTTTGATGCCCAAGCTTGCAACTTTCCTGAATTAATCACCATTCCTACCGCAAAATAGACGATGGTCAAGTTTTGTATGCAGCTGTAAACAACATGAACAACTTTTGACTTGAGGTATCTTCCCGATCTTTGTCGACACTCAAAGTAAAGAGCTCAGATGCTACTTGTAAAGACGCCATTTTTATTTACCAACGACTGATAGTACACATAGTAGGCACAAAACCATGCTTCTCTATTGCTGCTAACTTTGTTGGGCAGTAGTGTCCTCATTGCCCAGGGCAGTTTAGGAACAGGATACGAATGGAGTTACAGACTTATTCAACGCGGGTAACAGGTGCCAACCATAAATCAGTCTTTTGCGAGCCTCGGCGCAGGAAAAAGTCCTTCACGTCAATAACGGTACTGAGAAGCACTGGAAGCAAAAGCATACCATTTAAGACACCACAAAGTACGACCAACATGTACATTCGGAAGTAGTATTTCTTGAACACGCGCGAGTCTGCAAGAGTCAACACACTAAGACCAATGATCTTTGTAAGAGTGATACCAAAAATAACTGACGTGAAGACCTGACGAAGTGCAACACGGGCACGCTCGTCGCCTGTGCCGCGCGCCTTGGCAAAGAACCGAACGTAATGACCGCAAAACTCTACAGCAATACCAGCTGCGATAATCAGGTTAACAACTGACAGACCATTTAGCATAATGTCCAGCGGCTGCATCAGACCCAACACGAGCACCACGAGGTTTGTTGCCATCAGTGAAATCACGAACGAGTAGAACACGTTGCCTAGATAAAGTGTCGTAATCACAAAGATCGCTGCCAGTGCAAGACCGATCAGCCTGTAGGCATCATCGACCACAGTCAGATACTGCTCAAAGTAAACGTACGTCAGCGAGTACACCCAAACATCAATGCCAGTCTTCTCGCTAATCCAATTAGCCGCTGCACGAAATTGCTTGTACGAGTCAATATAGTGCTGCTGTGTAGGGTTTGACGTACCCGTCACCATGTACGACCAAGCCGTGATCTCGTTGCCGTAGCCATTGCTATTGAGCTTAACTGCTGGTGTTGAGGAGTTCACAGTCGGAATCGGCTCGTTGTCAATGCTGAATTGACCACGGTAAATGGAACCACCACCATAAGAGCACGATGTACCAGCACTAGCTGTTGCGAACATGCTGAAGAGCGACATGTACTGAGCCTCTGGTACGGGAGGGACGGTCACAGATGTACCCAGACAAGTGTCATCTTCCGAACGCAGCATTGTGTACGTATCATTACCAGTCTCAATTGGAACGTAAGCGCCTTCAGAGTCCACACGGCAACATTCGCTGTCGGGGTTTATGAAGCCCCAAAAGTCGTCCATCCAGGAGTATGTCGTTCCAGGACTAATGTGGGTAACACTCTTGTCACCATGGTTAGCCAGCGCATCCATGATGTTGGGAATCGAGTAGGTGCTGCAGATGTCCTTCGACTTGCAGAAAATCGTTTCCACATTTTCATCATTCAGCAACCAGGTATCCGGGTTACGGCCATAGCCTGCTTCGACGATGAAGTACACTGGCACGCCAGTTGCCAGATAAACATCCAGTGCATTAAAGTAGTTAATCATATACGAGTCAGACGGCATCGCCTCCTTCTGAGGCAGACCCTGATCCAGCGATTCCATTGAGTAAACTGACCAGAGCATCCATCCAAGGAAAGCCAGCAGTACAATCAGCTTCACGAGTTTGCAGGTCAATATCGACGCGTAAACGTCAACGCAATGGTCCAGAGTTACCGTACAATATTGCGGAGACACAGAACGGTGCGTATCTTCCGATCCAGGCGTCTTGGATTCCAAATATACAAGCGGCTCTGACGTATGCTGACTCTGTGTACCAGCAGCAGGTACTTGCGACCTCACGTACGATGCACGCCTAAAAATGATGTCGTATTTTCCGCTTAGCTCGCGGCGCTTGTCAAGTGTTAAAATCGACAAGAACAAGGTCATTTGGAGGCAGAAATTAATTGCCACAGCACAACATGCCATGGCTGCGAACCATAATACGACGGGCATTTCAGAGATAGAACCGAAAGCAAAGGCCACCGATTCGGCCGCAGAAGCCATAAAGATACTGGGCCCAATGTATGCCAAACTCTCGGACACTATAGTTGCGGTGATCTCCTCAATTGCCTTCGGGTTGTGCTCGAGACCTACAAAGAGACTCGGCTGCTCACGACGCATTCGGTCTTCCCTCTCGCTCATGGCGTGAATTAGCAAGAAAATGTTATCCACACCAATTGCCAGCGACAGAAAAGGAACCACTTCCATTACAATCAATTGAAGCTTGGCTCCAAACCACATGAAGATGCCGATTGTCGACGCCACTCCGCACACGATACACATCACACCACAGAACCCAGCCACAATCTTTGAGGAGACAAAGAACTCACGGCCGGACTTGATCCGGTTGATACCCAGTGAAATGTAGATGATCATCAGGCAGTAACTTAACGCCACAGAATCCATGCCATTGCTTGATTCCGCATCCACTTCATCCTGAACCGAGATTTCAGCGTAAAAGTAGACGTCAAATACTGTGTTGGCTTCGGCCTCGACTTTCATCGTCTTAATGTACTCACGTTCCCACTTGATTGCAGGATTATTCTTGTCTTGGTCAGCATAGTTATAATTCAGGTACGAAGAAACAAAGGCCGTTGACTCCAAAAACAGTGTGTAGTTGCTTTCGGCGCCATCAGGAAAACCACCTAGGTATGTGTTGTATAAATTCATCGGGGAGCCAAAAGTTGACAAACACGGGCAGTCGCTCATAGTCGCAGGAAGCGTATCACCCTCTTCCAACGCGTTCTTCAGCTCGGTGCAAAGCGCCACGTCTGATGTTGTCGGAGAGTACAAACAGTTACTAAAATGGTTCATCTCCAAGCCATACTTCTCGTAGAATTCGAAATGCTCCATGTTGTTCTGAAAGTATTGTGTAATCGAGTTAATAGTGCAACCCGTGCCTGTAGCTTTCCAGCAAATGTCATCCAGCGCAATTGTGATGTTGCCATCGTCCGACGTGTAAATCACATTAGCTGCCACATTCTGAACCCGGATAGCCTCTTTTATAATCGAAGAGCGGTAGATGTTGCCACCGTCCTTGGGAACTAAAATAACCTGCTCCGAGCGGTAGAAGGGGTTGAAAATTTCACCGTAATGCTTACGCTGCTGATAGGAGGTGCTCGTCGTAGACACCCATAGCTTAATCGGGTCAGTTTCAATCTCAATGTTATGCAGACCGGCGACGCAGACAGCAACAACGCAAAGCACCATTGGAATAATTCTCATCGCTCGATTACCTGTTGAGACGAACAAAGCCCAGGTACGCAGCTTATCTGTCATCAGCTCGTCCAGGTAGCTTAGCCGTGTGGCACCATTCTCCGTCGCGTGAGCCACGCCATGGATCTCAGGCGTGTACGGTCCGACTTGAGGCGTACCGGTGTGTGGGTTGGGAATATCAGAGTTTCGCTCGCGTAAGCCAGCGACGATGAATCCCATAATTATTATGGAGGCAACCACTCCACCAAATATCACGAGAAAGTAGTTGAGTGGTGTCCAGTCCGTCACGGGGATGTTGGTGGCCAAGTACGCATTTAGCTCAGCCCACGTCGGGTCGCCACCGGAATCAGCGTTTCCACTGCCTGTTGCAAAGTTATTGACAGCTCCATAACAAGACTTCGAGTATGTGCGACCGTCATTGGGGTCCACAGCACAAAGCGAGCCGCAGACACCTACGCATGACGTCATTTTGTTGTTCATAGGTAGAATGCAATTGGTTGCGTTCGCGTTGTCACAGTGGCAGAACTCAGTCATCTGCGTCATCTTCGGAAGCTTGTCCATTGTCGTCACGTTAATTTGAAGTGGAGATCCAATGCTATTGTATGCATACTTGCCCATGTACTCCATAAGACCGTAGCCGTCCGTACAATTTTGGTTTGGGTTACACAGGAGCGAGAAGGAACTATCGTCTTCACAAAAGTCATAAATGTCGCGGATCCAGTCGTTGCCCACGTAGTACGTGGCTTCTTCCACAGCAGGAAAGATGGCATCCGGGTGTTCATCGTCACCTCCCATAATACGAACTTCATTAATATCCAGAAACAGGCTATTGTTTGGGCTGCACGTGAACTGACAAAAAATATTGCGCAGATTTTCCTTGCAGGCTGAGCAGAGACCAGGAATCATTCGTACTTGTGAAGAGAGACCTGTATATTGTTTCTCCGTGCAACATAACATGTCATTTTTACCGTGAGAAATGGTTTCCTGATAAAGCAATGGACAGTCCACTTGAAATTGTTCACGATTCGTCTCGGACCAATCTGAAAATTTGTTTGAAAACCCCGTGTCATAAGCGGCTTGTACAGATGTTGGATAATATCGATTCGGGATCGCAGCACTTGGTGTTGTAACATTTACATAAGCTGAATCAAAGGTAACACAATAACCAGGTGCACGTACAAGTAAACCGAGTTGTGACACAAGGGCTGGATCTTGTATACATTCTTTGACTTTGGAATATTTACACGTGGTCAGATATGATTGAAGCTCAGTTAAACTTGTTGTATTATCTGCAAGTGTCCATGGTATTGAAGAATTTGAGAGAGATAATGGATTGGAAAATGTGATCGATCCTAATGTATTACGTGCTTGTGTTGTCCCAAGAGGTAGTAACAGTGATACAACCACAACAGTTAAGACGTGCATGATGGATGTATATAAGAAAGAGAGGGGGGGAGAGATGAAGATGGTGATGATGATGAAGATGATGAAGAAGAAGACGTAAATGAGGGAGTAAATTAACTCACTAGTCTACTCTATTGAATCCAAACACTTGAGCTGGTTTTGCTCAATCGCTGGTAGATTTCAAACTGAACAAAGAGATTGTGTCTTCAGACTTGGAGGAAGTGGAGAAGAAGAAGTACTATGCCCATCCTTTTTTCGACTGAAATGTGATCAGAATGTGACGAACTTATGCAAAGACTGCGTCTGCGACGTCGCGAGGACGCATCTATGTCTAGATCCCTAAATGCCACCGCTGAGATTGTAAGTGGTGACCAAGTAAAGCGATTTGATAGCCGTTTGGCTTGATCAAGTCGAGTCACTGGTTGGCTTGTCTCCGTCCTCGGTTTGAGACGATGCAGTCCGTGCAAAACGCCCGAATCAGCCTCCAATGTGTAAAACAAGATTCAGCTGCTGGTCGGAATGGATCCTTTCAGCACCCTGGCTCTCCTAGTGCTCAGTAGCTAATGCTTAAGAAAGATTGGTGGTCTAGTAGCGTCTATCAAAGGCTGATTTGGAAAGACTTTGATGGACAGCGTAGCGTCAAGGCTATATCTTTTTTGTTAATGCTTGGTGCATTGCTACAAGGACCAGAAGAGATGAAAGTCACACACGTTCTTATATTATAACGCTAGAAACCGAGGAGGACAGGATTTCTTATGTACTCATGTGTACAATCACAGGTCGAGAAGGCTAATCGATATATCTGACACATTATAGCGTAGATAGATGCTCAAATGCTTGATGGAATGAATATGTTGTAGATTGTAAATGCATTGCAAGTCTATTAAAAAACCGTACAAAGGCACGAGGGATATCGTTAATGGTGAGCACTAGGAGATCATTTGGTTTGCATACAGCTTGTTGTTTGCTTTGACTAATTACTTACTCTTGTCAGATTCTTTCTCTCTTAAGGTGAAACATAGTCAGTCATACCCTCTGATCTGATAAAGTGTCCATTCGTTGACGCTTTCTGAACAATATCAGAGCTTTTGTGTGTCACAGACGATCCTGTCCGTACATTTCTTACAACAGAACCGATGGAAGACACAAACTGTTATGGAGCAATATTTACGTTACAATAAAAGTGATGTACGTATTTACTCAATACAGCCCAAATGGTCTTTTTTTGCATTGTATAGTTAGCTCCCCATCAACAATACATAAATATATATTGTTGAAGTGATTCTATAAACTCAAAATGAGCCATCTTTAGTATTTATTATATAGCAAAGGATTTTCTTCACTCAAAATTCCATAGTCAAGTGTCACAAAATGCGTCGAAGTGATCATGACAAAAAAGTCTTGACGCGAGTGATCATCCACTTGGACCTTGATTGCTTTTACGCACAGGTGGAACAGAGACGCCTTCATATTCCGGATGGTCAGCCCGTTGCCGTGCAGCAGTGGGGAAGTCTGCTAGCTGTTAATTATGACGCGCGGAAGTTTGGTGTGGAGCGAGGTGGGCCCTACGTTTGTATCGATGATAATTGCTGTCATTAGCCACTGACCATTGCGACGACAATTAATGTGGACACGTATAGGAGATTTCGTGGATGATGCGAAAAAGAAATGTCCGCAGATTCACTTGGTATGCTTCTGTGTTGCTTTCTACATGTAGTTAATGATTCAGTTCTGGTTCAACTGATAGTGCTGCTTCTAGCCACATGTGGACACACTGGGAGAGAATCGCAAACCGGGACAAGTTTTTGATCGAACGCATCAAAAAGCTATTTTACGGAGGTACCGCGTTGCGAGTCGCGAGATTTTTGGCATTCTGAGCTCCATGGTGCCTGTGATTGAAAAGGCGGGTATTGATGAGGCCTTCATGGATGTCACAGATATGGCGAAAGAGAGACTTGAAAAAAATGGTGCGTGCACTCTGGTTCTGACTTGCATGGGATTAGCACTGGTTCATGATGTTTATATTGGCGCAAGACTATTTTGTCATCAGATTTCTGCCAGGATCCGGCCAACAGCGACACGAAAGTGTTTTGCAAGGTCAATGGAGACGAAAATGCGTTACAGGCATTCCCGCTGACGAAGAATGAACGGCTGCTTTGCATTGGCGCAGTAATATCTCGGGAAATTCGTCAAGCAGTCTACAGCAAGCTAGGCTACACGTGCTCATCAGGGATTGCAGGCAACAAGCTTCTGGCCAAGTTGGCGTCTCCACTCAATAAACCTAACGGACAGGTCGTGGTAGCGTCTCGTTTTGTTGCCACTCTTATGAAAAATTTACCGATGCGGAAAGTCCGCGGGCTTGGTGGCAAGCTTGGTAAGCAGCTTGAGAGTATTTATAAAAGCCTAGATCCGGGGGGAGTTGGAACATTGGATGAAGGAGTACAGACACTTGAGGAAGTATCAAAGAAGCTAACAGCGCACGCCTTTCTCCAACGTTGCGGGCTAGATGAGCTGAGCAAACACGTAGGTCAAGAAACTGCGACGTATGTCCACCAAATATGTCAGGGCAATGATGGTGATGAACCAGTGGAAGCTAAAAAGGTCCAAGTAAAGATGCTTAGCTGCGTAAAACAGTTTGATCAGCGTTCCGGGTCAGCGCTATCGCGGGTGGAGCAGTTGGAATACTGGGTGCGTCTGCTGTGTGAAGAAATGGTCATGCGTTGCGAGGACGAGCGCATTGAGAACAAGCGCTTTCCATCGCAGCTAACGATTCAGACCACTGTCGCAAAAACCTGATGAAAAGCCACGCACCCAAAAGCTGAGCATTGCGCAGGATACGACTGTGGACGAGCTATACACAGCTGCGATGAACATGATGCGGCTCCATTTGGACAGTATATTTCCGTTGGCAGCTCTCAGTATGCACGCCAAGCAATTCTACGACCTGGACTCGCAGTCAGTAAGCACGATCTCAAGCTTTTTCATGCGGAATGTCGACGTGGTGTCGTCTGCCAAAGTGGCTGCACATCGCGTGGAGGAAGACATCAAGCAGTTTATTGCAAAACGAGGCAGAGGTGACTCACTGATACGAAAGAGTAGCAAACAAAAGATATCGTCTTTTTTTGATCGACCAAACAGCAGCATCAGCAGCAGCAACGAGAAGAAGAAGACTGACGTGATGTTAATGACCCACTCAAACAGTTACATTGAGACAACTTCAACATCCACCCAAGCAAAAATGATCTTGTCAACCACGACGACGAAGCACTTTTGTGACAAGTGTCAGTGTTTTGTATCGGAAGAATCTCAAGATGAGCATGCAGATTTTCATTTTGCTCTACGTCTTTGTCACGCACAACGCAGTGCCATTATGGCAACTCGAGGCAGTCAAAGCTTGAAGAAGAAGAAGAAGAAGACGAAGAATGGTCCACTTGATAAATTTCTAAGACGATAGTTGTTGAGGATATTTTCCACCAATTAGACAGTGTCTTCAATGACAAATATCATCAAATCATGGATTTCAAGTAGATTGAGGTTTTGAGGCCCAAATAATGATGATAGGCAATGAAGAAATGCCGTTATTTTTATCCATGGCCATGCGTTACGAGAGTGGAGACTCGGTGAAAACACCTTTTGGTTTTGGATGTATACGTAATTGTAGTAGTAATAGTTCAGCTTCAAAGACCCAGATAGTTGAAGTGACACTTGCAGGTGATGTTGTCTTGTATACAAGAGTAAGAGATAAGACACACACATTATTATGATTATTATTGATTGTTTTTTCCATCTTACTTGAATAAAGTATACTTTAATATATCTATATATTAATATTATCATTTTATTATTATAATTGTGTAACACAGAGAAGCTATTTGATGCCAGCATTACGTATGTTACAGTATGGAGAAATTCCAAAACATACAAGAGTGATGGTCTTGCAATTAAACAAGAGAGAAGGCGTTGTACTCGATTATATGTAAGTTTTGTCTTATTTTTCGAATATTTTAAAATGAATTTGTCACTTTTCTGTCACTAATGGCTTTCTTCTTTTGCTACTGCCTTTTTTTTCTATTTCTATTTCTATCTAGAGTCTCGGATCAAAAGTATCAAGTTTTAATTGAAGACACAACATATGGATCTGATGAGAATAAGAATGAAACTGTAATGGACAAATACACACTATTGCTGACGGTGCGTGAATGAATTACTACAGATGCTGATCTTTCTCTCTAATTTTTCGGTCGTGAGTATCGGGGCTTTTTCTAAACGGATGAATTGAGTTTCTTTTTTGCTAATAATAGAAAGAAGAGCTTCGTTTGACAAAAGAGACTCGCGTCCGGACAAGTGTTGGGCTAGGAACTATCACAAACTACCGAAGCTCAAGTGATTTGTACGTGGTGCTACTGGACTGGGGCAGCATTGCGTATTTGCAAGCCAAGGACGTTTTTTGTCTTGACTTGCGGCTGTTGAAAAAGATCCCCAAGCCTTTGTCTGCAGAGAGAATTTACAACGAGTGTCAAGGGCAAATTACGCGTGACGACGCACTCGTACTGAGTCACAAGGCGGAACAGACGTACCGCCAACTTCAAATGTTTTGTGAGCAGCACTCTGAGGCCATCTCGTTTGCCTCCACAAATGCGTCCTACGGTGATCAGTACACAAAAGCGCTGGCTGTGATGCTTGATCCCAGCTTCTCAGACGCTACAAAGCGCTTGAAGGATGCAAGCGGTAAAGAACTTGAGCGTTTGAAAGGGATAGCGATCTCTGCTAAGACGATGCTGGAAAGCGACTTTCTAGAAGGTATGGACTCTGCTGCTTTTATCGCAAAAGCATCGAATGTCTTGATTCAACTAAAGAACAGCGAGGAGGTAAAGAACCTCCATTCAACTTTTCGTGAGAGGGCTAGCTCAGAACTTACCTCCATCCGACAGCGAGTTTTGTCTAGGGAAAGTGCTTCACTGCCGCAAGTGGCATCGTCACACGAGGAGAAGAAACTTGTTTTATCGCAGATTTTGCAAATCGTAGAGAGCAAAATGAACGCGCAAAAGCCGCGTTTGGATGCTCTAAAGTTACCTTTAGAGCGCAAGGATCTGCAGTCAGAAGTTCTGGCGAAAATGCATCAGCACGAAAACGAATTAATGAAGGCACAAGCGACAATTGCTCACCTTGAAGTAATGGCAAGCAAACAGCTGGGTGTAAACTCAATGGCCGATTTGGACATTAGCATGTTGGCACAAAGAGCAGAGGAGTTACTACCTAGATTGACATCGAAGGCTGAAGTTCTGGTTCATGCATCGGAAAAGTATTGGATGCAGATGCAGCAAACATCACGTGGTCAGACACTCATGAAAAAGGCAAAGGCACTGGTCCAGTCAGTTGAGAACCCTGACGAATTTTGCGATACCGTGACGAAGGCTATTGGCGAAATCAAGTTGGACGAGTTGGCCGAGCGTGGGAGCACAATGTTAAAAAATTGCAAAAAGCGGCAAGAGTTCGTGGACCGGATGAAAGATCATTGTTTGGATTTTTTAACGTCCGTTTTGCCAACCTTAAAAATTGACATGATTTCGGGCGTAGAAGACGACATTGCCTATTCGCTTTCAAAATTGGATTTGTCGAATTTTCATGTGAAAAAAGATCGCGTCAAAGTGCGAATGGGAACTGTAATTGATGAGGAGTTATTTACGGTTCGTGCGACACATTTGACGGCACTTCTCAAGGGTTTTGATTGGACATTTGAGCAAAAATGTTTTCCTTACCTACATGGTGGCGGTGTAGCGGATGCTGTACTGAGTGGCGGTGTGATTTGCTTAGGCTTTAAAGCCGAAAAGAAAGTTGTGAACGAGGAAACCGGTGAGTCTAAGCCGATACTAGCGCTTAGCTCGATAAAAATTGAGATTCGCCAAGGACTAAAGCTTAGTGTTCAAGGAAGCTGGTTTAGCGCGGTTTACAATATGTTGACATCGCTTTTTGCCGAGTTAATTCGTGAGTATTTGGCCAAGACAATGGAAACGAAATTGTTGAAGCATACGATTAAGTTGCTGGATACACTGAATAAGCAGATGGATGAGTACTGGCCGTTGATCTTCCAGTTGCTAGACATCCGAGTTGAAGATTTGCCAACTGCCAGCCTGTGGCGTGGTGCGAAGGAGATTGAGATGCAGCCACAAGAGCTTGAATGCACCTTTGCGGAGCGCAGCACCATGCCTTTCGTCTTTACAAAGGGTGTGCTGAACGAGTACGTGGTTGTATCACGCATTCTGGACGTCGACGTGCCACCCACTAGCAAAATCAGATCACGTGAGAATCATATTTCTCATTCGACTGGGGACTGGAAACGCGTTCCCGTGGGTAGTAGCGTGCTAGCTCTCAATGGCCTCTGTTGCAGTAAACTGACTGTTGACGAGATGAGAGGTCTACTAGAAACTCTTCCTCTTCCTTTTACGATACGCTTTTCGTTGCTTCCTGAAAGTATTACCAAAAAACGGCGACAGCGAATGAAGCCCCAACCTGAATTTACCACTTTTACATTTCGAAAAGAAGGACCATTTGGATTGCAACTACGAGCTCGTGCGCTAGCGTCATGTGGCGTTATAATTGTGGGATTTGCTCCCGCGGATTCTGATGGCAAAAAGTATCCGGCAGAACTTAGTGGCAAGATACGTGTAGGTCAGCTTTTGACGAAAGTTAACAATGTCGATCTCCGTACTAAAACGCTAGCCGAAGTGCTAGCCATTCTTCACGTCATGAAAAGCCGTCCTGTGACAATGCAGTTTGCGACGAGTCCCGATGCTGTCATTAAGCTATGTGACTGGCCCCCAATGATTGAAACTGAGGAGGCATCCTCGTTTGCGTGTAATGAAGACGATTTGTTGTCTAATGGCAGGCAGTATGTCGTGCTGTCTGCTTTTACACGTATCCCATCCTTCGCTCAGCGGAGTCACTTGGTGGAGAAGGGTGACGTGTTGCTGGGTGTAAATGATGTTCCACTCACAGGTCCAGGCTACAGTAGTTTTGAGGCTATTATGGAGGCCTTACGTGTCATTGTGAGCAAGAAGAAGCCAATGCGAGCTGTGTTTGTAAATCGCGAGCACTATATGGCGATGCGAAAAGATCTCCAGCAACGCCGTCTGTCGTTCAACAAAGACATAGATCAGTTGAGTGGGCGTAATCACAAGGACGTAGAATCCGGTGGAAGTGTGAAAGACAGCGTGGGGTTTGATGAAATCGGTTCCACCGCGATGAAAGAGATTGTATTTCCAAAGGGTCCGCTAGGTATATTGTTTGGCAATTGGAAGGACGAGGCTATATATATACGAGCGTTTGTTTCGAGTCCAGGACCAGCAGAGAAAACAGGGTTGCTTCGCGTCGGACACGCAATAATACAGGTGTGTGGACACGCTGTACCGCTTGCAGCCACTCCTGATGTCATTGAGGAGCTGATAGTGAAGATATCTGCGGAAGCAAGAGCGCAGGACAGTAACAGCTGTGATGAGGATACTACAGCCAAAAGTTGTGAAAAGAAACCCGTGTATACACTGACAGTTCGAGATCTTGAGTTAGAGCAAGAATTGATGAAGTAGATGCGAACGTAGACATCACGGTGATCGGAAGGTATGATCGGTGAGTTTATACTTTTGGATGCAAACGAGGGGCTGACTGACACTGCAAGCATCAGATCAACATCAAGATCGAAATCGAAGCCGAAGTTTTGCTTTTGTTGGTCGAAAGTGTACACCTGCTTGTCAACTACAGCGCAGGGGGACGCTCTTGTGCCAACACAGTCTACACATCAAAATAGTGTGCGCAGTGAGCGCTCTAGTAAACAATAATCTAAGCATGCATAACGAACGAATCGCGGCTCGTGTCTTTTCATTTTTCGTTCATGGATGAAGAACATGTGATCCTTCCAAGCAGTAGTAGTATGGCTTGTTATGGCCAAAGAGATTACTGAAGCTGTCTGTTGACGGGTCCACGGATCAAATGCCTTTTCATTATATCTCACGTCAATGTTAATGCTCCACCCATGCTGCGTAGGTAGAAATCAGCAATGAATTGGCAGAGTTGTGTCGTGATGGCTCCTGTTTTTAGAAGCTAATATTGAGACTGCGTTGCAAATGTTTGCTGGAACCGCCTCATGGGCCAAGTACGTGACCGTCTCGTGGTCACTAAATCTGTCAATACTGCCGACTAGATTTCTCCAGCTTTCCTGACCATAGAGGGGATTAATACAGTCGGAGACAAGGATATAACTTGAACTTGTGGCAAGGTAAAGTCGAGTCGAAGTCCCAGACAAACTCAGCCACGTGCAGTCGCATGCGCTCGCTCTCAGACGCCACGTTGGTCTCAACATTGCGTCGTCACAACTCCAAAACCTCCTGTTTCTCCGTAAGGACTACATCTGCTCCAAGAGAAGCTGCTACAATCCCTACAAGGCCACATCCACTGCCCAAATCTAGTACTGATTGACCAGAATTCATGTGAAAGGTTCTGGGGAATTCTGAAGAGAAACGCACCAGGCAATTAGCCAAAAGCGACTACACACGTGACGCTGTCCACGTATCGGTAAAGATTAAGGCTAACTCAGAGCTGTGTAAAGTCTCGGACAGCGTATAGCTGCAATCACCTACTGACACGATGACATGCGTCATTAAATGAGTCGTTGTGATTGTTGTAGTAGTAGTATTAATAGTAGTAGTAATAGTACTAGTAGTAATAATAGTAGTAGTATTAGTAGTAGTAGTTGTTGTTATTCAAGCTTGTACTGTAACAAACAATCCCTCGATCAAGTGACAGTATCAACGTTTCACCATGTCTTTCTTTTTTTTCTTTTTTTGCTATTAGATCGTTTGATGACACTATCTATACCTGTATACATTTTAACGTTACTTTCAAATTATACATCCATTTAATTAAATGTTAAAATGGTATAATATTTGCTGTTTCTATATACAATCTTAAAAGGACTTAAACAACCCCTATTCAGCTCAATTCTTAAGTGAGTGCTAAGGGATTTAGTAGAGAGAGTTGGGGCGTTGCAAGATGAAGCGGCTGGTCAGAATCGCCACTGGTCAGCCTTAAACATCAGCACCATGTGTTAATTAGTAGCCCATTCTGTGACGCTGTAAACTCAAACAACAGCACTTGCTCAACGTACTTGTGTGCCTCACACGCGAATCTGTATACGCCTGAAGTTGGTAAAGGTGGCCAGTGCGTTGCAGCTAAATGCTACAAATATGACGTAACGTCTTGTGTTAAAGGCACACACACACATTTTTACGCATAGATGGTTTGAATATCACAGTTTGTCTGTATTCTATAAATCTCGATCGATCTTTATTGTGGGGTGACAAATAAATCGTGTAGTAGTACACATGTAACAACATCATCATTCATCATACAAGAACCATAAATGTCAAATATCTCTATGGATAGTCGTTTTTCAATCGTTTTTGTTATATTATGCTTTTGTAGAGTAGTACTATGAAGAGGGTAGGGCAAAATTTACTTATAAAATCAGCTGTAATATTGAAAAATGGCTGCAACGATTGACAACCGCTACATAATGACATTCCGTATGGCCGTCCTCGCCCTGGCTTTCACCTATCTGCTTAGCCCTATTCCTTTTCCATATGTTTTTAAACTCTCCAGTTGTTATAATATCGAACTATTCTTCTTTTCTATGTATCAATGTATGTATGTATGTATTACAATATATAGAAAACTAAATCGACGCAATTCATTTCTATTGCCCCATTTCTCTCTCTCTCTCTTTTTGTGTCTTTTTGTGTGTTTTTTGTGTTTCGCCTTCAGTTCCAAGTGCGAACGTCAGTAGCATTGGCAATGCCTCGTCCCGAATCCGCGCCTTTTAGTACATCACCTCCTCCTCCTTCCTCTTCTTCTTCTTCTTCTTCTTCTCGTGGTATTTTCACATCACCATCAATGACAAGTTCGTCTGTCAATCCCTCGTCAGTCTCCACACTAAGTGCTGTTGCTTCTGGAACATTTAATGCTGCACTTAGCGTTGCAAAACTTAATTTACATCGACGTCGTCGACAGAATCATACAACAAATAATGAACAACAGTTGGGATATGGAGATCGAGATGGAGACGACGAAGAGGACGATCCATTTGAACCACTACAACAACAACAACAACAGCAACGTCATCATCATGAACAACGTCAACGTCATCAGAGATATCGTAATCAACCGAGACCGAAAAAGACGATACATTTATCGTCGTCGTCCTTAACGTCGATTGTATCTTCACCATCGTCTCAATCAGGTGACACTCCATCTCGACTCGTGTCGTCGTCGTCTTCGTCACTCTCGGTACGATCACCATCTGCACGGTCATCGTCAACAACGTCGCCTTCAAGTCCACGAAATGAAAGCATGTCGTCGTCCATGGTCAGTGACATGACACAGCATTTACCTGAGCTCTCGACCGAGAAAGTTGAAGCACTTGTAAACTTTATTGACAGGTCTGTAGATGACGCGTATAATCTCAGTTTAGGCTTTGGTCGCGTGCGCTGGACGCCTAGTAGAGCGAGAGAAGGTGTGACCATTCATCGAGCAAGAAGCGGTCGGGATGATACATTGTTAGATGCGGCTGTGAGGGGTAAATGCAATGTTAGCGCCACATTTAGAGAGATCAGCGATTTGCTGATAACAGAAGCCACCGCTGATTTTGTAGACCACGAGAATGCTGTGAATTCTAGTGAGTTTCTGGATGGACAAGTACTGTACACGCTCGTACCTCGTACACCTGAAGAACGCTTTGCATGTGTCAAGTGGCACTGCCTGCGGTCGTTAGCGCCCTCGGTTGCCAAGCACCGTGACTACGTGTATGTGGAACTCGTGGATTCATTCAAAGATAGCGACGGTCGTCGCGTTGGCTACCGCCTAAGCAAGAGTGTGGATCTGGACGTGCTGCCGTCCCGTGACACCAAACATCTTTTTGTACGCGCAAAGACGCTGACGTTGCAGACGTGGAGTGAACGAGCGCCAGGAAGTTTAGAGTTTGTTACTATGATAATTAATGATTTAGGTGACCGTCTGCCGTCTTGGCTTGTGCACAAGATGGTGGAAACAGCAGCGATGCGCTCAGCTTGTATACGAGACCATGTTAACCAACGCCGTCTTGATATGCTTGTATACGCTGGACCGAGGGACATGGTGCCGCTAAGCCGCCGCATTTGCTGTGTTGTATGCACACGTAGCTTCTCTCTTGTGCGAAAGAAACATAACTGTGCCGCGTGTGGAGATGTCATCTGCAGCCAGTGCAGTGTGTTCGAGCTCGTGACAGCGCATCAGCGACTGAGCGATCTTTCGGCTCCAGGAGGAAAGCGCAAAACTCGCATCTGCGTCAAGTGCAGCAGCAAGATGCAGAGCCGAGAGTTGCCGCGACGTGCATCCTCAGCGCAACAGGGTGACTTTTTACGTCTCAGTTCGGATGGCAGCGTCCGCAGCTCTTCATCTAATAGCTCGTTCTTGGCGCGCTCGCACGTGTCCGCAGACAAAGCTTCTGACGAATCTCGCCGCAGTTTTCTCTCCGACTCAACCGCTGGTACGAGTTCGCAAGACTCCGTTGAAGACAGCAGTCGAGGCAGTAGCAACGGTATGTCAACAGTGCGCAAACAAGTGCCCCATATGTTCCAGTTTCGTCCGACGTCTTCTTCTCTCGGTAAGAATGAACGTTTGTCAAAAGCGTCTACATCATCATCGTCGCCTAGGGATGAAGAGAACCAGCTCGATGTGGAAGAGCTGCAGCCACAATTAGTTGGCGACACTATTCTTGCGCCAGTCCCTGTGGAGCTTGACCTTGGTATTGGGAAATATAAGAAAACATTTACTCAGCCGCTGACGCGGACTGAGAAGGATTATGAAGCTGAAGCAGCCGAGCTGGCGGAATACAGCGACTCGGAGGGGGAATGTATTGAAGACGACGCTGGTAACTTTCTTAACACGGAAGGTCATAGGCAGGACGCGTTAGGGCAATCTTTATTGCAGGCTACAGTTATGACGCTGGACATAAGCATGCCAACGGTACGCAAAATTGAAGTGGCCAGTTTTTTGACAGAAGAAGAGAATGCTAATCTTGACACTGCATCGAGCGGTTCGGACTCTACCAGCTTTCTCACGGTGGATGAGAACTCAAAAATTGTGGAAAGTAGATGTTTTGGTAGGAAATCGATACCTAGTGCTATGGTTCCTGTGCAAGTGGAAGAGCTCATTATAGAAGAGATGGTTCCTAATAGTATTTGTACGATCCCGCGTCGCAGCATGGAACTTGAAGAAGTGAAGGTGAAAGAGCTGATCATTGAGGAGTTCCAGCCCGTAAATGTAGGCATTGTACCGCGACGTGGCATCGACTCGGAGGAGCTTGTGATAGAAGCGATACAACCTGAAAATGCAGATGAAATTCAGGTACCAATGGTGGTTCGTAAAGTGGCGAAAAGATTAGTTGTTGGCTCGGGCGGACGAAACAGTCGTGAGTCAAAACGAACACCAGTGCCGCGGCCTACTGGTGCCCCGCCTTCGCCACCTGGGGTTGCTGACATGCTTACAGACAGTATGGCAAGCGCCAATGCGAGTAAAAAGAATACGATGCTTTTGAACGGCTCTCGTGCCGCACCACCACTGGCCCCAATTGCTGCGCTTCTAACGTCAGAAGAGGAGACGATCAAGCTAGAGAACCTGCAGGTACATCTTGACCGAATGAATCAAATTTCGGCAAACTTGCGTGACCTTCGGAATGAAATGAAGGAGACAACAAAAGCCCCAGCCAGCACAAAGTCAGCGATGGCCGCGCTCACAACCTTTGAGACCAAGGCAAACGCCGAACGTGCAGCCAAAATTGCGGCCAATTTTGTCAGCTTGTTGGACCGAAATGCGGCGCCCGCGGCTCGACGAGCACAGCAGGATTTGCAGCAGAGCGGCAGACCTCGCACAAGTCTGTTCAATTTGACACTAGCCATGGGCGATGGCAGCTTCGTGGACTACCTTGGAGACTCGACGTTTGAGGACGTCGGGGAAAGCCCTGACGGCACGGGATTGGGGTGGCAGTCAGTGCTTTCTCAAACGACTGGCAAGCAGTATTTCTTCAACCAGAATTGTGCGCTTGCGTCTTGGACTTTACCAGGACCCGATATTTTTCGGGGAACGCTTTATATGGTGCTTTAAATCTCTTTGGGGGTAGTCGCACGCACTTACCAACGTATTATTTAGCCAGCAAAAGAAAGAATCAAGTACAGCTCTGCGTCTAAGGAAACCAGAGCATTACAAATAAAGAAAGTGACGTTCATTCAACAGGAAACATGGCCGATGTACGTTTCTCTTACTTTCGCCGATACGAGCAGTCTTCAGAGCTGTGTGCTGTGGCGGTCTTATGGATGCCTGCATCTGAAGTGGATGGCCTTTTGTCCATGGCAGACACTGCTAGGTTTGCAAACCGTGAGAAGCTTGCGAGACCGGAGCCTGGTGTTGGTGATTTGGCGGAGGCTGACACCGAGAGTGGAAGCGAAGCGTTGGACGTGACGGACAAACGCTGGTTTGAAACCTCAGAGGCAGTGTCCGTGATGCTGCCATTACGCGGCGATCCTGGACGAAAGACGGCAAATCGAATGAGCTTTTCCTTGCGCGCAAGTTTGCCAAGCAGTATAGTGACCTGCTGTAAAGACATCAGTGACGCATTGGTTTCATTAATGCTCATGATGTACATGCCTGGATATACGTCGCCGTGCCGTTCAATAGGTCCTTTTTCGCCAGTTAAAAGGTTTGTGAACCCATGAACGACGGCACACTCTTGAATTCCGCTATCCAGTAGCACACCCAAGGGACCAGGGGGTACTCGGACTTCCACAATCTCTTCAATCTCGTTATCACTCTCGCTATCGCTATCATTATCAAAAAAAAGCTGCTCCTTGGAGTGCACCCTGTAGCATGGCATCATAGACCTCGGGCATTGGCACGGGTATTTCTGCATATTGGTAATCAAGTTTACGCAGCTCCTCGTATTTCGGGTTCGAACCGATAATCTTGTAGTCTGTACCTGCCCAAAGGTTCACAAGCTTGGCTTCTTCTTTATCTTCATAATAAATTCCACGTAAACTGCTTGTACGGATGCTTGTAGATGGCTCAAAAAAGACCACAGTGGCTTTGCGGCCTAAGTGTAAAATGACTTTGCCATTCAGACTCTCAGGTTCTGTAGCAATAGTAAAAGTCAACATGTATACCTAAGTAGTAGTTCTACCACGTTATTTAATCGTAGTATCTATCGTCAGTCATCTCATCAAACAAACCTTTCATGGGTGCCACGCAGCCTTGAGACCGCATCAGTTCAATAATCTGTAAATGACCTCTCCAGATCGCTAGATCTAGCGCCGTATAGCCATCCTAACACCATAATATAGATAGTATTGTCAAGTAGTAGTACTACCACTAATAATATTACTTACAAATGAAAATAATAGTAGTAATATATTTCAAGTCATACATCAGTAAGAGCAAGCACGTCAGCCCCGGATTGCAGTAGCATCATTGTAATTTGTGTATTACCCACGAGACAGGCACAGTGGAGCATGGAAAACCCACCACTTTCAGTAGTCGCTGCCACATCTGGTTTTCCAATCTTAAGTGTTAAGTAACGCCTTGTTTTCTCCATATTTCCTTCAAGAATTGCCTCGCGTAAATACTGATTGCTCTTACTTTGGAGCAAGTTCATTTTGTCTTTTAGTAGTAAAAGTAGTAATAGAAGTAAGTAGAAGTAGTAGTAGAAGTAGTAGAAGTAGTAGTAGTTAGTAGTAAACAAATGGAGACTACGATTTAAAAAGTATACGCGAGAAGAAATGACTCTTTTCAATGTATACTTGGTGTGGAAGTTTGGACAGAAACAACACAACAACCTCACGACACTTTATTGTGTCTTTGTGCTTCATTATGAGTACGATCCTCACTCCATGAGCAGACAGATTCGCTTAACGTCTTGGGACAATATGCTGTGGCTAATGTTAGTCACTAAAGATATTGTTAACGTCGAAGAGTGATTATGTAGATTAAATACGTCTGATCTACTATTAGAAGCCACATAGTGGTAGTAGCTGTATACGACCGATGAGGTGACGTATACTGTAGCTATGATATACTGTTTGAATAGTATACTGTAACAATAATATAGTAGGGTATACTGTAACAAAAAATAGCATACTGTAGTCAAGTTCAGCTGAAAGTGATAGTAGTGTTCTCGTTATTAAGAACACACTAATAGCTTAAATGACAATGTTGGTGTGGCTAACTTTAGGTACATCGGGGCTCCCATTTTCTACCTAACGTACAATGGTGGGTCATAAGACTTGGTTTAGTACGATGGATACATGTGTGTAAATAGTAAGAGGAGCAGTAGGTATTTCTATATTAGTGCTAGACGATATTAAATATTACATAAAGCAGTTTCAAACCTGCTCTGTATAGCATTTGATGCTAGAGCATTCTCTTCCTTGAAAGAAAGAGATTGTATCTTTGATACTAGTCTCATGAAGACGTGGTTGTTGCAACCAAAAGGCATAAGCTTGTGAAGCTATTCTTGTCAGAATTTAGAACCCTAAGACGTATAGACTCTTGAAGCTTGTCTTTCTCTGCATATAGCGTATAAGTAGATTGGCTACAGTAGCTTTGTTATATCACGATGGTGCAGACGCAGTTCGGCAAGAAGGTCAAGTTTGTGCGCCAAGACGGAGCTCGCGAGTTTGCTACGAACTCGCTTCAAGATTTCTACGAGAATGAAGGCATTGAACAACAGACTACGGTGCCGTATGCACACCAGACCAACGGAACAGCAGAGCGCGCCATTCGGATCGTCACGATCGGCCGCAGCATGCGTCACCATGCCAAGTTGGACAAGCTCTTCTGGGCTGAAGCAGCAATGACGGCCATCTACGTCAAGAATTGCCTACCGTCACCCAAAGTTGTGCACAAGATCCCGTTTGAGATCGTGTACAACTCCAAGCCAAGTGTCAAGCACATGCGAGTATTCGGCTGTCAGACATTTATACTGACTCCGAAGGAGAAGCGACTCAAGTGGGATCCCAAGACTCGTGCTGGAATCTTTTTGGCTACGAAGAAGAATCCAAGCTATAGCGTGTATTTGACATTGAGGCGGGCCAGGTTGTTGTCAATTGGGATGTCAACTTCGACGAGTCAAGTTTTGGACTTTCGCCACCAGTTGAAGATAGCGTCGTCAATGACTTGGATTTTGACTCGCTTGGTCTTGATGATGAAGGTATGCGTCAAATGGAGTATCAGCAAACTGGTAAGCGAAAGAATCGTTCCAGCGATGAAGATGCGGCTGATCGGTCACCACGTACTGTACGTCAACGGCCTGGATTGGACATAACCAGTGAACCAAAGAACGATTCACCACGCCAAGAAGAAGATAAAGAAACAAAAGAATCGGACGAATTGACTCCGCCTGTGTTTTGGCGTGCGAGTGCGAATGCTGTTGAAACAGCAGCGGATTTTTCGGAACCGTCGACATTTGAAGCAGCAGCGACTGGCCCGGATCAAGTGCACTGGCTTAAGGCAATTCATGCGGAGCTCGAGTCAATGCGACTTCGTGGAGTGTTTCGTGCAGCCAAGTTGCCCAACGGACAACGTGCCATTGGTACCAAGTGGGTCTTCAAGATCAAACGTAAAGCGGACAGATCCATCAAGAAGTACAAGGCGCGTCTCGTGGCAAAGGGCTTTCGCTTAAAGTATGGAATCAACTACACGGAGACGTTTTCGTCCGTGGTCAAGTATGTGACCATACGCATAGTTATTGCGGTCGCCAAGCATTTTGGATGGATACTTGACCAATTTGATGTGGTGACTGCCTTTCTTTATGCTGTAATGAAGGAGCAAGTCTTTTGTGTGATTCCTGAAGGTGTTGAGGTGGATGATGACTTTGACTGTCTGGAATTGGTGAAGGCATTTTATGGCCTGAAGCTAGCCTCGCGCGTATGGAACGAAACGTTTGACGAGTTTGTGTGTTCCATTGGATTTCAGGTGTCAGGTTTCGACCCATGTCTTTACATCAAGATTATGGAAGACCAGTGCGCATTAATTTTGGTCTATGTGGATGACGTGTTGGTGACAGGAAGCTCACCCGTTGATTGCACGGACTAAGGAAGGCCTGAAGATACGCTTCGAGATGACTGATAGCGGCAAGTGTGCATTTGTTCTTGATATCGAGCTTTTGGATGGAGAAGATGGAAGCGTTACATTGTGTCAGCGCAGGTATGTGGATGACCTACTTATTGAGGGTTACCGGTACAATCCAAACTCTAAGGCTTAGTATTTACGGCAGAGTTCTTACAGGTAATTACGTCATAGTTGATTAGACGAGTAGCTTGATAGGAAGATCTACATGATTTATATGTGGACTACATATAAATCAGGACGTGAACAGTCGCAACTGATTTATATATGTGGACTACATATAAATCAGTTGGTAGATAGAATAAGCTCTTATAAATCAATCACTTTCCAATTTACTATCTTCTGCTCAAGTCGTCTCCACCCTTCAAGTGCAGACTTCCTCCGCCTCCTACCAAGCCCTAAAAAAAAAAAAAAAAATAAGCACGAGACCAAGTCTCATACCTTCCATCAGGTTATGAGCCCAAGTACGATGTCCACTGCCCAAGACGTGTCCTCCAAGGTCTCCATCGATAAGTTCGATGGGGACAACTACGCGACTTGGAGTCGTTACATGCGTGGCGTGTTCCTGACCAAGTCGGTCTGGCACGTCGTTAACCGTGAGACGACGCCGACCTTCGCGGACCCTCGTCCCATGGAAGATTACGTCAGGTCGAGCAACATCGCGTTTGGACTGATGTTGCTCCACATGGACGCCGACTATCATCACGTGGTTGATGATTGTGAGGAAGCATGGGTCGCATGGGCGCGTTTGAAGACGCTTTACGGTGGATCGCAGAAGGCTGGGCGCATTTTTCTGAAGCGCCAGCTCTTCAGTATGGAGATGAAGGAAGGCGGCAATGTGATGCATCATTGCAACGAGGTTCTCAACATCAGCGCCAAGCTTACCAGCATCGGCGCCAAGATGGAGGACGAAGACGTGGCGATCTGTTTGTTGCGCAGTCTCCCCAAGAGCTACGAGAATGTCGTGCTGAATTTGGAGATGAACAGCGCTGAATTACGATCAAGAGACGTTGTGAGGGTGCTTACGAATGAGCACATCAAGAGGCAAGGCGAGAAGACGGCATCGGTGAAAGTTGAAGAAGCGGCCAAGGCTTTCAGCACCGAGCGCGAGCCTCGCCAGTGTACGTACTGCGGAAAATTGGGGCACACGGCAGAGCGGTGCTGGACCAAGCAGAAGGATGAGAATCAAGGTGCTCGACGCGGCGGTAACAACCGAGGACGCGGAGCCAACAATGTGCAGTGGCGAACCAGCAGCAACAACTACGACGACGATTACGATCGAGTAGCGTTTGCGGTTTCGCTGGAAGCAGGACTATCGACGGGCAAGAGCATGCCTGGAATGTGGGCGATTGATTGACAGTGGAGCAACGCACCATGTATGCAACAACAAGGCCAAGTTCACGACGCTGAATGAGCAAGATGAAGGTGAACTGTTGGTGGCTGACGGCAACAAGGCCGCAATCAAGGGTGTGGGAACCATCATCGAACGAGTGGTTCTGCCCAACGGCGAAGAGCGCGACATCAAAATCAAGGATGCGTTGTTCGTGCCGAAGATGAACAAGAATCTGCTATCGGTGCCGCAGATCAACAAGAGTGGCAAGTTTCAAGTGGTGTTCGACGGTGCGAGTATGCACATAGCGCACAAGAAATCGAAGCAAGCGGTGGCAACGGCGGACCTCGTCGATGGACTTTACTGGCTTCGCACGCCACAACGTTCGGCAAATGCAACAACTTCGGCAAACAGTGTGAATCTGCACGCACGAATGGGCCATGCTCCGGTTGATGTGTTGCGCAAGATGGTCAACAGCGGTATGATCAAGGACGCAAAGGCACCATCGCCGACAACTGGCATATGCCACGGATGCCAGCAAGGGAAAATGGTCCAGAAACCGTTCCCGAGCAACCGTGACAAGCGCCGCTATGACACGTTTGAGCTTCTCCACTTCGACATTTGTGGTCCTATGGAGCAAGAAACACTGGGTGGTAGCAAGTATTTGCTCCTCATCGTGGACGAAGCCAGCGGATGCATGAAAGGTTTTTGCCTAAGTGCCAAGTCTGAGAGCAAAGAACATCTCAAGACCTACATCAAGATGGTGCAGACGCAGTTCAACAAGCAAGTCAAGTTCGTGCGTCACGATGGAGCTCGAGAGTTTGCAACCAACTCTCTCAAGGCGTTCTACCAAGACCAAGGTATTGAGCAGCAGACCACGGTCCCGTACGCGCATCAAACCAACGGAACAGCGGAGAGAGCAATTCGGACGATTGGTCACGATTGGTCGTAGCATGCTACATCATGCCAAGCTGAACAAGTGTTTCTGGGGTGAAGCGGCAATGGCTGCGATTTACATCAAGAACCGCCTACCGTCACCCAAGATCACGAGCAAGACACCCTATGAGATCGTGCACAGGTCCAAACCCAGTGTGAAACACATGCGTGTTTTTGGGTGCCGGACGTACGTTTTGACTCCTCAAGAAAAACGACTCAAGTGGGATGCCAAGGCTCGTGCAGGTGTGTTCATGGGATACGAAGAGGTATCAAAAGCGTATCGAGTTTACGACATCGAGACAGGACAAGTGGTCATCAGTCGCGATGTCACCTTTGACGAGACGATCGTTGGTATTTCGACTATGAGTGCAAGTGATGACGACAAAGATGCTACGCTGGACTTCAGTGGACTTGACATCAGTGATGACAACGGAGGTCCAGTCACAGTACCAGCAGACTGGAAAACGCAAGGACCGTTCGAGTGACGCCAACAGCAAGGATGCCTACTCGCGTCCAGCTCATCATGGTGCTAGCCTCGAAGAAGCAAGTGCTCCTGATCGTGCATTTCGGCGCCAAGTGAAGAGTCGACCAGGCATGCATGCTGGACCTGATCTGTCAGAAGAAGAAGAAAAGGACAACCATGATGATGAAGATAGCGACTCGACTCCTCCAATGTTTTGGCGAGCAAGTGTCAACGCAGTTGAAGTGAGTGATCTGTGCAGAGCCAACGACATTTCAAGACGCGGTAAATGGACCCGACAAAGTTCATTGGCGTGAAGCAATCAACGCAGAGCTCAAGTCGATGCAACTTCGTGGAGTATTTCGTGCGGCTGTGTTGCCAAAAGGACAACCAGCTATTGGAACCAAGTGGGTGTTCAAGATCAAGCGAAGAAGCGGACGCTTCAATCGAGAAGTACAAGGCACGACTTGTGGCCAAGGGCTTCAAGCAGAAGTACGGCATCGACTACACGGAGACATTCTCACCAGTGGTCAAGTATGTGACGCTGCGCATGGTGGTCGCGATTACCAAGTACTTTGGCTGGCCTCTTGACCAACTTGACGTGGTCACAGCTTTTCTCTATGGTGTGATGAAAGAAACGGTGTACTGCGCGGTTCCAGAAGGCGTCGAATTGGACGGAGACTTCAACTGCCTCGAGTTGGTGAAGGCAATCTACGGTCTCAAGCAAGCTTCTCGTGTATGGAACGAGACCTTCGACGAGTTTGTTTGCTCCATCGACTTTCAAGTTTCGGCCTATGATCCGTGCCTCTACATCAAGATTGTGGATGGTCACTGCGTACTGTTGCTGGTCTACGTGGACGATGTGCTGGTGACTGGGAGCTCGACGGAACTCATTGCGTGCACCAAGAGCGACCTCAAGACGCGCTTCGAGATGACCGACAGTGGCAAGTGTGCTTTTGTGTTGGGCATAGAACTGGTCGAAAGACGCTGACAATAGCGTGACGATGTGCCAGCGACGCTATGTGGATGACATTCTGAAGCGCTTTGGGATGGAAGACTGCAAGGCTGCAATAAGCCCAGCTGATGTGAGCACTCGACTGACTCGAAGCGATGCATTGACCAAGGTAAGCGCTCCATTTTGAGAAGCTGTGGGGGCGCTCATGCATCTGACGACCGCAACACGCCCAGACATAGCTTTTGCTGTGGGGTACGTATCGCGTTTCATGGAAAACCCCCAAGTCGAGCACTGGATTGCAGTGAAGCGTATTTTACGCTATCTGCAAGGGACCAAGTCACATGGAATTTGTTTCAAGCCTGGTGAAGAAGTTGATTTTCGTGGATACTCCGATGCGGACTGGGCTGGAGACCATTCCGAACGCAAGTCGACTTCGGGATATGCGTTTTTGTTGATGAGCGCACCAATCAGTTGGGGAAGCAAGAAGCAGTCAAGTGTGTCGCTTTCAACGAGCGAAGCTGAGTACATTGCACTCAGCTTAGCGATCCAAGAAGGCAAGTGGGTTCACCGACTGCTGATCGAAATTCTAGCAGCGTCAAACAAGTCGGCACCTGGACTGAAGATTCTCGAAGACAACCAGTCCTGCATCAAGATGACGAAGAATCCCGTCAACCATGGTCGTGCAAAACACATCGACATCAAGTACCATCACATCCGTGATGAAGTCAAGCGTGGTGAAGTGGAGCTTGAGCAATGTGAGACTTCCATCATGCTCGCGGACATCTTGACGAAGGCACTTCCGGGACCTCGTCACAAGGACTTGACGGCTGCACTCGGTATTCATGCGAGTTCGCATTGAGGGGGCGTATTGAGGGTTACCGGTACAATCCAAACTCTAAGGCTTAGTATTTACGGCAGAGTTCTTACAGGTAATTACGTCATAGTTGATTAGACGAGTAGCTTGATAGGAAGATCTACATGATTTATATGTGGACTACATATAAATCAGGACGTGAACAGTCGCAACTGATTTATATGTGGACTACATATAAATCAGGTGGTAGAAAAGAATAAGCCCTTATAAAGTCAATCATTTTCAAATTTTCATTCGACTAAGCAAAAGTCTCCATTCGCTCCGACTCCACTCCTTCCCCCACTCGCAACCAAGTTGCATAGAAATCATACTTCAATCAGGTTATGAGCCCAAGTACGATGTCCACTGCCCAAGAGGTCGTGTCCTCCAAGGTCTCCATCGATAAGTTTGGATGGGGACAACTACGCGACTTGGAGTCGTTACATGCGTGGCGTGTTCCTGACCAAGTCGGTCTGGCACGTCGTTAACCGTGAGACGACGCCGACCTTCGCGGACCCTCGTCCCATGGAAGATTACGTCAGGTCGAGCAACATCGCGTTTGGACTGATGTTGCTCCACATGGACGCCGACTATCATCACGTGGTTGATGATTGTGAGGAAGCATGGGTCGCATGGGCGCGTTTGAAGACGCTTTACGGTGGATCGCAGAAGGCTGGGCGCATTTTTCTGAAGCGCCAGCTCTTCAGTATGGAGATGAAGGAAGGCGGCAATGTGATGCATCATTGCAACGAGGTTCTCAACATCAGCGCCAAGCTTACCAGCATCGGCGCCAAGATGGAGGACGAAGACGTGGCGATCTGTTTGTTGCGCAGTCTCCCCAAGAGCTACGAGAATGTCGTGCTGAATTTGGAGATGAACAGCGCTGAATTACGATCAAGAGACGTTGTGAGGGTGCTTACGAATGAGCACATCAAGAGGCAAGGCGAGAAGACGGCATCGGTGAAAGTTGAAGAAGCGGCCAAGGCTTTCAGCACCGAGCGCGAGCCTCGCCAGTGTACGTACTGCGGAAAATTGGGGCACACGGCAGAGCGGTGCTGGACCAAGCAGAAGGATGAGAATCAAGGTGCTCGACGCGGCGGTAACAACCGAGGACGCGGAGCCAACAATGTGCAGTGGCGAACCAGCAGCAACAACTACGACGACGATTACGATCGAGTAGCGTTTGCGGTTTCGCTGGAAGCAGGACTATCGACGGGCAAGAGCATGCCTGGAATGTGGGCGATTGATTGCAGTGGAGCAACGCACCATGTATGCAACAACAAGGCCAAGTTCACGACGCTGAATGAGCAAGATGAAGGTGAACTGTTGGTGGCTGACGGCAACAAGGCCGCAATCAAGGGTGTGGGAACCATCATCGAACGAGTGGTTCTGCCCAACGGCGAAGAGCGCGACATCAAAATCAAGGATGCGTTGTTCGTGCCGAAGATGAACAAGAATCTGCTATCGGTGCCGCAGATCAACAAGAGTGGCAAGTTTCAAGTGGTGTTCGACGGTGCGAGTATGCACATAGCGCACAAGAAATCGAAGCAAGCGGTGGCAACGGCGGACCTCGTCGATGGACTTTACTGGCTTCGCACGCCACAACGTTCGGCAAATGCAACAACTTCGGCAAACAGTGTGAATCTGCACGCACGAATGGGCCATGCTCCGGTTGATGTGTTGCGCAAGATGGTCAACAGCGGTATGATCAAGGACGCAAAGGCACCATCGCCGACAACTGGCATATGCCACGGATGCCAGCAAGGGAAAATGGTCCAGAAACCGTTCCCGAGCAACCGTGACAAGCGCCGCTATGACACGTT